TCCCAGCCATGGACATCCCAGCCATGGACATCCCAACCATGGATATCCCAACCATGGATATCCCAACCATGGACATCCAAACCATGGACATGCAGTTGGAGTGCTCAATCGCAACATGCAAACAAACACCGTCATCAGTCCTAGTCTGGTGACACTTCCTCTTCTTCCTTGTTCTCCTGGAGGTCCTGCACCCAAACTGGACTCCATAACAACAACAATGAAGCCCTGTGGGGGAGGGGTGATAGATTTGAACACCAAACTGAGTGTTCCTGAGGAGAGAGATCTCTTGCAACAGCTGCAGAAGCCAGTTTCCAACAATGTTATACAGCCTCTGCCAGTTCGCCCCATTGGCTCTTCCATAACTGTTGTGTGCATCGGTGAAGACACAGCTCTGCCATCTGTGCCTCGAACCCCAAAAGGGTCTCGTCAGGTGGAAAAAGAGGTTGAATCTGAGGCCTTGCCGGTTGTCATATCAGACTCAAAGCACAGGGTGAGGATGGCAAATTCTGCATACAAGGAGATGGTGGGTCAGCCACTGTGTCCTTGGCTCGAGTCTATGGTGAACGTTGGTGCCGGAAATCTGCCATGCAAGAGGATCAGTGGGGATGTAGCACTGCATCTTTGCGACTCAAACTTTCCAACTTCTGCAAACGGATTCTCTTGCTGGGTGAGGATAGAATGGGAAAGTGAGCTGAAGAAGTGCAGTGTTAACGCCTTCTGTGACGTTATGAAGTTGGCCTGTGAATCCAGGGACTACCTCTTCACATGGAGGTTCCACACTCGTGCCAGGGAAGCTCCTAAGCCAAGTTGCACCGCTTGAAAAAGTTGAAATCAATATCGCAATGAATGCACATACTGTTCTACTTGAGTCTCTCTAGTATCATGATTACCTTTCTTTTCTGCTATCATACATATATTTATATGTATATGTATGCACATAAGTATTAGGGAGATGATCGAACACAGTTTCTATGTTTCTTTAGTATAATGTCATCAAGAACTTGTAAGTGCTTGATTAGTATTATTTACTAATAAGTTATGTTTATGTTTCGATGAATCCCTCTCTAAGAAGTCCTTCTGGAGAGGAGAACATCAGAAAAAATAAATAAGTCAGTACTATTGTAAGTTGTTTCGCAGAAAATAAAAAACTGCTTTTATTTCTTCATTGTAAGTTGTTTCGCAGAAAATAAAAAACTGCTTTTATTTCTTCGTTAGCTGTTTTTTACATTATTATTCTTAAAAGAGGTATAGAAATCCGGGGCACACTTTCACACGAACAAAAGAACATAGAATGGGGAAATTGCACCGTTTTTTCTGTCAGTTTTGCCGAATGAAACTGTCTTTATTTCATGGTATTAATTGGGATGTAATAAAGAGAGTTGAAGAAGATGATAAAAACAAGGTGGTGAGACGGAGACGTTACTGCCTCGGTTTTTAAGGTGATCTTCATCAGACCTGAGGGAGAAAATCTGGAAAAAAGGAAAATTTAATGCCAGGGGTTTAAGGGAAAGTAAAGAAACATGCACTTGCACACCATTTTCATGTTCCATGAACAGACAAGAAAGGTTTTTGAAGCACCGAGGAAGAGACACGTTTTAAATAAGCTTGCAAGTGATGAAGAAGGAGCAATCTCATTCTCTCACCTTCAAAAGTGATGCGTGAGGCTGCTTAGTTTTACGTTAAAAGAAGTGCATCAGATCACGAGAGGAACAAAGAAAACATGACCTAATTAGTCATACGACAAGTAATTAATGCCGTGCCATTAAGTGTGTTTAATTAATGTGTAGCTTAATCAGAAAACTTAACGGTAATGCAGATCTCTACGAATGCAGACATGGCACACATGCACAGGCTCGTCAAACAGAAGATGTCTAAAAAGACAAGTGTCAGCAGAAAAGATAGCGAAAGCGAAATGTTTTTCCTCGAACATGCATGTTAATGCAAACTTTAACCTCCAAAAGGTAAACATGATTATGAAATAATCACCAAGTAAATGGGTAGAAGGATCGAGAAATTATGAAAAACAAGGCTCTGAAACTACATCGCTGTCAATTCTGAGAACTGCATACATCTGTAGGCAAGTGTTCTCTAACCATTTGTTATGGATATTCCCACCCACTGTGACAATGAAAGAAAAGGTGTTATTTTTTTAATATTATTTTGAATTATTATATTCCTATCATTTTTTAAATCTCGAAAATATTCTTGAAGAGATTCTTACAAAGTGATATTTTTCATTACATATGGATGAGATCTAGTGAAGTTTGTGTTTTTGTTGATTCTTTTTAATAAAGCTCTTCATACTTAACCTAGATAAATACATAGTATAAAATATTTTATGTAAAAAAAATTATTTCATATAAACTACTCTTAACCTCGAATCGATTATTATTTTTCTCAATTATTTTTTTAAAAAAATACAGGTAAAGAATGTAGGGGCTAACTAAGAATATGCTAAAAAAAATTGAGGTATATTAAGCCCTCTCCATTAAAACTACACAAAGGCTTTAATCGATAAGGACATATCAAAGATAAAACAAAATAAATTAGGACATATCAATGTTCAATGCTTTAATCGATAACAAGAAAATAGTGAATGAAGGTTTTGTGAAACTATTATTTTTCATATGCTTTACTACATTGGGAAGTCAATTTTGTGTCAGTGTATTCTCACCATGGACCATGTGGGAATTCATTTATAAATATTTTTGATCTTGGAAGTTTAATTCGGGCTTTAATCATTAAGGCCTTAATCATCACTAAACTTTCATATTTTGTTCCTATTAAAACATGTTAAATTTGCCTTAATGAACTTATCAAAATGTATAATATGTGGGTAAAATTTGACAATATATATTTTAGTATTGTCTGCAGCTTGAAAATCATGAAGATAATGAATAGCATAAAGACCATGAAAATCATAAAGATAATTAATGAAATGTGTTATGCATTACAAAAATAATTTTAATTATATTATCTTTTAACTTTTTAACTTTGAAAGGTTTCCTTAATGACTTCATAATCGTTATTTTAATCATGTAATTTGAACTCTAACATTGATATATATATCATAAACTTATTAATTTTATGTTGAAACACATAAAAAACACTTAAAAAATGCAATCGTACTTATAATGAACAACATTCAGAAAGAAAAATTTATGATGATGATGATCCTAGTATTGCCAGCCAATATATGCATAATAGATCCAAGTGCTAAAGTTTAGAAAGTTTAATCTGGCAATAAAATAAAATTTGAAGGTTTCAAGAGATCATATATATAACTGTTACTATATAGTAGTCATGCTAGTACATATGCATGCTTCCAAAAGTTCAAAGCAGAACACAGAATTGTTTTCTATTCTTCCAAACTTTGGCTTAGCCTTGTTCTGATACAGTTTGGTGGGGGCATTACAATGCTGGCACATCCATCATTAAACAAAGAATAATGACACATTTACGTTTATTGACACACCTTACAAAAACAAAAATAAAAGAGTAATGGTACCATACCATTCTTTTATATTCATTTGATACATAGTATAAGGATAAAATGGTAATAAAAATTTAAATTTTTGTATTTTTTAAGAAAGAAGACAGTAAAAAATAAGAAATGATAATATCAAATGAATGTAAAAATTTATGTGTCAAAATGATATTTTGACACATAAATTTTTGACACACACACATACACACACATATTTATGTGTCAAAATAAAATCGTCATAAAAAAACATACACACACATACATTTGACATCATCATTTTTTATTTTTTGAAAAATTACAAATTTAAGTTCACTCTTTTATAACTATTTTATAGTTGTAATGTGTGTCAAATGAATGTAAATGTGTGTTATCTTATTATTACTAAAAAAAATAACAAATTTTTATATTGAAAATTTGAAAGGTTTTTTTTAAGAGATCATATATTGACATTCATTTGACACATCTAACAAGGGTAAAATGGTATTAAAAGAGTAAATTTTTGTAGTTTTTCGAAAAAAAGAAAATAAAAAGCAAGGAAGGGTAGTGTCAAATTAACTTAAAAAATTATGTGTGTCAAAGTATCATTTTTCATTTAAAAAAAGTAACGGTACTTTGACACAGGAAAACGATAAATACATTCATCTGACACGAATAAATAATAATATTTGATTATAATTATATTATTTTTTAATTCAAAATCATAATTATATTATTATATTATTAAAAATTGTGTCAAATGAATGTTTTTTTAAGCCGTGTCAAACTAACTTTTTTTTTAAAAAATAATAAAAATTAAAAAAGAGTAATATCACCTTAATTAAAAAAAATTGTGTGTTAAATTATCATTTTCAGTAATAATCATAAGAAATAATACAACAATTAGATCATATAAATTAATTTTAACTTGAACTTGAACAATTTCTTCTAAAATTTGTTATAAAAAAGTCATGTGCACTGCTTGATGGAATAAACAAGGTAAAATATACTAACTTTTGTCTTTTTTTTGTTTTGCGTACAAGACAATAGTAAGTTTCAAAGTGATTAGTTTGTTAATGAAAAATCAAATTGTATGAATATCACACTGTAAGATTTTGGTTGCAAGTGCATTTGTCATTTTGGTTAAAGAGTAAAATAATAGACAAGCAAGTGATAAAGGAAAAATTAAGATAAAACACTCTTAAGAGGTGAAACTACTTGAATTTAAATACTCAACTCAATAAAAAGTTAAATTGTAGAAAGCAGATACTATATTAATTAGAAAGACAATCCATATAGAATATGATATCAATATATTTACAAAATTATATGTATCTAACGTTGATTTATTAATATTATATATTCGAGAGGAAAATCAATGTTTTGCAGTAATGTTGTTTTACTTCCAATTTTCAAATGCATATAAATCATTAATAAATATATCACCTTTTATTTATTTTTTTATATATAATTTAATCCTTTCACATACTTTATGGTTGACGTTAACTTTTACGTGATTCATACTAAGTTTATCATTTAAAATTTAAATATTCACAATATCAAATATATAAGAGGTAGCTTTTAAAGCACAATTAATAATATATAAAGTTAAGAATTCCAGTTAGATATAAAATTTCATTTAAAATCTTGTAGAATCTTATTAGTGATGTTTTGGATTCAGTTAATAATTACTCTATGTTATTATTTAAAAAAGTGATTCAATAACTATGTCATCAAATACATAATGTTTAAATTTTTAGTTATACACATAACATACAATTTTAAAATATGGTTAAAGTTTAACTTTTTGTTAAACAAAATATACGCATTTTGTATATAATATAATCTCATTCGTTTTTTAAAATATTTAGTCAAAGTAACCATAATATAAAAAATTGAAACTAGAAGTTAAGATTTAACATTCTTTGGGACTAAATGTATGAGAAATGAATGTAGAAAATAACGAATTTGAAATGAAAAGAAAGTAGAACTAAATGTATGAGAAATGAATGTAGAAAATGTGAAAAATAAGAAACAGAAACGAGGTAAGATGTTTCATGTCTTCTTTTTTTCGCTAATAATTAATGTCAAATGTAGTACTTAATTTAAATAGTACCAGCAAAATATTATGCGGGAATAAGTAATTAAATTGAAAACAAAAAGTATAAAAATACGTTTACTTTGATTTATTTGACTAAATTATCATATGTGATATTCACAAACACCACGTCGACTAATTAATAAATAATGTATCAATATCATAAATGTTAAATTTGTCATATGAATTTTAATAATAGGACCAGATTAAGATTTTTTGGTTTTAATTTAAGATTGCTTTTATAGTTTTCTACTTCCAGATATTAAATTGAGAACGCTCTACTCTCAGGATGAAATTGACCATTTCAATAAATTTGAATTATATATATATATATATATATATATAT